AAAAAAAAATTAGATATGCATTAAAAAAAATAAAGATGATCTATAATTGTTGATTATCAAGTTGTAACTATGGTGTATCTATAGACCTATTACATATATAATTCCAAGAAAATCATTAAATAATAATTAGTTTTAAAGTAAAAAATAATCAATCATTATGTTGAGTAATTCAAATACTAATTTATACATTAAAAATAAAATTATTAGTGGTTAATTTTAAGAGAACAAATTCTAGCATTGGAAAAGAAGGTTATAATTCTAATGTTGTCAAAGTGGGTTGTAACCCGCGAGCCAACCTGACCCACCACAGGTTTGAGCTGGATTGGATTTGAAAAAATTGTAATTTTTTTGTGGGTTAGTTTTCAACCTGGCTCACTTAGAACCCGGCTCATCCCGGTTGGCTCAACAAGCATGACACTAAAAAGAAAATATTATTTAATGGAGGTTATTTTGTGGAGGTTATAAAAACCCTCCACAAATAAACATTATTTAAAATTATTACAATGAGTTGTCTGATGATTGCTAGTAATTGTAGGGGTTTTAGTTTTTCTTTTAAGAGGTTTATAACCTCCTTAATTAAAAATTTAAACCTTCCCACTTAACATCATATTTTCCAAAAAATTCCCCTTTTTCTCCTTTAATTATAAGCATTCTTTACTACTAATATTTTTGTTTTATCATTTCAGGAAAGTCGTGATGCAAATGAGCCCGAGTCTCCTTTGGATACAATAGGATCATCTGGTGCTAGCAACATTTAGGGAGTTTATGATGTCCTTTAGGATGAAACTATATTTAGCCTATGGATTTTGAGTGATTATGAATTTAGTTATAATTACGATTCAATTTAACTTACTTTTATATAGTATGATGTTTTTGAGAATTGAATGTTTTAATGATATATAATTCAAGACTTTGGTAAAAGAAGTTTGTCATGCTTTTTTGTCTTCATTATAGTATTTGAATTTTGTTACAAATAAATATTGTTGACAAAAATATAAGCATCTTAATGGTGATATATGTAAGATAAGCAAAATAAAGTTGTAAACTCACAACCTAAATAGTACAAATGAGGCGACTTAAAACATTTAAATTATAATTGTCAAATTGAATATGATATTAATCTAAAAAAAAAATTGAGAAAAACGGTATTAATCTTTACACTAAAATAGTTGAAAATAAAAGAGGTTTCAAACCTCTACAAAATAATAGTCACTAATAGAAGAGGTTAAAACCCTCAACAAAAAGACCTCTGCAATATAAAGTGGATACCAGGGGTCATTGAAAACCCCCGCAAATTAATAGCGACGACTCTAATTGCGGAGGTTTGAAAACCCCTGGAAATTAATTTGCGGAGGGTAAAAACCTCCGCAAAATGAAAAATAAACCTCCACTAAATAACAGTTTTTTTGTAGTGTGAGATAAAAAAAAAAGATGTTTCAAGAGAGAAAAATAGTACAGATTTATCTATTCAAGACTCTAATATTATAAAGAGACAAATGATACAAAAATTATCAATATTAAAAACCTATTTGTTTGTCTTTTATGCTTGTTTTTTTATTATGTTTGGATTGAATGATATTTTTTATTTTATTTTGAATTGTCTTTGGAGTTTAACATCTTTTAGGGTGAAATTTATTTAGATTTGAATTAAAAAAATTATAATTTTTTTTTATTTAAAAAAAAACTTATAATTAAGTGAGTCAGTGAGCCAACTCATTTAACACACCAACCCGTGATGAGTCGAGCCGAGTTCAAATGTTTTCAGCTCGCTAATAAGTGAGTCTGGTTGGGTTGACTCACTAAGTGACCAACCTGTGGTGGGCCGGACCGGGTCGAGCTAGGTTACCCGTTTTGACAGCTCTAGTTAATCCTCTTTTACTTGTTCTTTTTGTGGTTGATTGAAATGTGTGTTTTCATAAACATGGTTTTTCCACCAGTTAAGATAATAAATCTTCAAAATACAATAAGAAAACTTATATTCTCTATGGAAAAACTAGTCACATTATTGATGTTTGTTATCATAAACATTAGAGGTGACAAAACAGATTAGGTCGGACTGGCCTACCAATTGAAAACATATTGAAATTTATGACTCAACTTTTGAGCTAGTGAGTTGGTGGACTAGTAGGTCCGTTTTGATTTTTTCTTTCTAATTTGGAAGTTGGGACCCAGTTTTAGATTTTGTTGTTGTTGTATATGAGGCCCAGTTTCAATAGCTGTATGTGCAGTGCAATACATGTATCATTCAAAAACTTTACATATTTTGTAACATTCAAAAAATTAACTTGTCGACCATCAACATCTAATCTAATGTATTGTCAACAAAGGTACAAATTACTTAATACATAACAACATTAACAAAGTATTCAACACAAACTCCCATTATTATTTTTTTGTTCAATCTTCATCGTTTACCTTTTCAGGATTATTAGATGCACCATTAGAATAACTCTCCTCCACTCTTCCATCTTCATTAACATCATCATCTAGATATCACATGGAATGGAATTAAAAAAAGAAGTTAAAATATAAAATTTGGGCAGCATAACATTAATAAACTTCCAAGATGATTATTACAAGGTGGTGACACCTCTTTATATGGGCAAAGGTGTTACCTAAAACCCTAAAAGCAAATGGAACACTAAAGGACAAGGCTTGGACGAATTTGGAGGCCTTCTAGGATGGAGACAAAGTGTCCAAATCCTCTCCAATGGTGGAAGGACAAGTGGTCATTCAAAAAGCAAAACCTCTCCAATCCTATAGTGTCATGTAGCCACTTCTAAAATCAAATCCTCTCAAATGAAAGGATCATTCATGCACACACTTTCCACTTGGTTTGGATGCCTAACTTAAGAAAAATCCTATGCTAATTAGGCCTTAATATAAACCTTAAACAAACCTACACTACATGATTGAGTACAATGACCTAAATATCCTACACTACTCTTCAATCCATACTCCATGATGGCTCCAAAGGTGGTCCACAAGATAGAGTTGACACTATCTTCAAGGATGACTTTCACTCTCTTGAAAGTGCTTTGACCATGGCTAGAGGATATGCCATCAGTCTCATGCTTAGAACAATATTTAAAGAAAAGGTTGTGCAATTATTCCTTCATACTCTCTAACTTTACTCTTTAAGTTAGAAGATCTATCTTCTCATAGCAATATCTTAATGTTTCCAACTTCATCCTTGAGTCTAAAATTTCCCCAAATGTAAGTATAGTGTTATATTTATCCTGATATTTATCAAACTTCATATCATCATTCCAATCTTATCTCTAATAACTTGTAATTTCATAAAATGATAACAAGAAAAACACAAATTTATTGTACTCTTTTCCATTTATCTTCAAACAAATAATACTTGTAATTCTCATCAAGTAAGTGTAAACTTGCAAACACGTATTTAAGTGCACTTTAAAGCATAAAAAAAAGTTGAGTTTCATCTTATTATCAATTACTACTTTTGAATCCCTACAAAGCTAAAAGAAAATCTTCGATACAACTTTAAATAAATAATGAGTTTTTAAAAATATCATATTATTTATTAATATTAAAAAAAATACCATTCAGAATTAATTGACAATAGTTAAAAAGGAAAAAATAAATCGTAAAAAGGTATTTTCATTATTATTCACCATCATCCAGTAGATTGCCTATAGCTTGAACTCTAATATATATAAAATCTAATCTATATAAAAGAAAGAATAAATAATGAATATACATTCACTTGCATATAAAAAAATCATGTTGCCTTTAATTATAAACTAATAATATATGGTAAGTTTATGAAATTTTATAATAACTCATCTTATACCCTAATCATGATTTGTAATAGACTAATAGAGAATATTAAAACTTTTATGAATATAGTAGAAGTCAATTAAAGTCTAAAAATGTAGTATAAGAAAAGGTAGCATGATATTTGTATTATATATTTTCTGCTAAAGTAGATGTAACATTTTAGACTTTTAAATGATGAAATGAATCCGCACAATAAATGTCACTTGCAATCAAACAAAGAGACCTATATAACCCATAAATTCTTGTACTTGACGGAGTTTGGAATATAATATTCAACTCATGACATACGACACAATGCAATCAAAATTTCAAACTATTCTTTAATCTCACTTAAAGGCCAAAGTTAATTACGAGTTACCTTAATCCTACAAAGTGGATTTGTATTAATCCTACAAAGTGGATTTGTAAAGTAAAAATATTACTAAATGATTTGGAATTGTAATTGATATAAGATCTTTAATATACTTTGTGGTTTTGGAAATGAGACATTTCACATCTGAAATAAAATATTTGCAATTATTCCGATAAAAAGCAGACATAACAAAAATCAACGACAATTATTGAAATTTTCCCTATTACCATTTTAGAATGTTTGTTTAGAATGAAAGAAAGCAAAAATATAGAAAAATAAATTAAAAACACAAAAAATTGAGGTACAAAAATGTAAAAAATAATAATAAATAATACATACATAAAACTCTTTTTCCAACAATATATATAAACACAAGTTATGTATTTGTAACAATTAATTATATTTTAAGTATTTTATTAATTCGTTTCGTATCTTATATTGCATATATAATAATAAATACGTCCCTTTATATCTCATTAGTATTTATTTTCTCATTCATACTTTACTTTACTTTCTATTTATTTATTTTTTCTAATTCAAATTATTTTACTTTCTTGTTTTTCCACTCTCACTTTTCATAATTAAATTCAAACAAAGCTTTAAAATTATATTTTTATCAAAATTTTATTCATAAAAAATGTGTCTAAACTATCATTTATCTCAATTCTTAAGTTGTGTGTGACTTTTTGAACTCATCTGAAACAAAGAAATTTACATTAATCAATATTCTCTATATGTTAACAACATTTATAGAAAATTTACAATTTCGAAAATATATATATTTCATTTTCTGTATATACAGAGAGATAGAGAGAGAGAAAGTGAGAGGTGCTCCATTTCGTGGAAGCTGCAAAAGGCTGAATTGTTTGAATATGAAAATGGTTTTATTAGGTCTTCGTGTTGGACCATTCTGGCTCACAACAGTGGCGTGCTGAATATCAACCATGTATAAGTACTCATATTTCCCAACACAAAAACTTCAACAATCCTTCCACAAAATCTTCTTCACACAAGAGTAAAACACAAAACCAAAACTTATAAACTATTCTATATAGTGTTCAAGTTTATTGAAGATGGTTAGAGCTCCTTGTTGTGAGAAGATGGGATTGAAAAAGGGTCCTTGGACTCAAGACGAAGATCAAATCCTCATATCATACATCCAAAAACATGGCCATGGAAACTGGCGTGCGCTTCCAAAGCTTGCAGGTACTTCATCAATGTCTGACTGCTACAAAACAGATAAACAGAAGAAAAAAACAGTCTTTTTTATGAATAATTAACATGCTTCCTTTCACCTTTTTGAATAACTAACTTGGTATTTCTTGGACATGAGTTTATAATATATAAAGGAATGCAAAAACATCATCCTATTGTTGTTTGTTTGATTTATTGTGTTATGTTATCTTTAGTTTTATGTTCAAAATATATATATGATTGTGTTAGGTTTTAAAATACGATTTTTAACATTGGAATGGTTTATATTGTACTTTTGAGATGATTTGTGATGTTGTGTTCATTGATGTTATTCTGGGTTGTCTGGTATTTTTCTCAGGGCTATTGAGGTGTGGAAAGAGTTGCAGACTGAGATGGATTAACTACTTAAAACCTGATATCAAAAGAGGAAATTTCTCGAGTGAAGAAGAAGAGATTATCATCAAGATGCATGAGTTGCTGGGAAATAGGTAGGTTCATCTTTCTTCTTCAGATCAATGCATTATGGAACAATAATAATAATAATTGGTTAGTAATCTCCGGAAATTACTATAATGTGTGATTCTGTTCATGAAAGTGAATTTGTTTTTCTTTTGTTCTTATCTCTTTCTTGCTTTCTTTGAAATGTAATCAAGATTTAGTGGTGGGGCAAACGACATTAAAGTTGATTATAAAATTGAAAAGGAACTGGGTCCATTCCTTAATTATTAATTAATAAAGGTAGAAAGCCATTCCATTTGATAGAAAATCAAGGATTGATAATGGATTTTTATCACTTAATTTAATATTCGTCAAAAAAAAATACTCTAAAATGATTTTCATTGAATTTTCAAGCCATCTTTTTAGTTTATTTTATTAAATCATTTTAATATATTAGTTCCTTTTAAAACATCGATTATCAAGACTCTTACAGTATGCTTTTTTACACCATATCTTAATGAAATACATAATTTTTAAGTACAGATTTTAATCAATATGGCTTAATATTATTATTATTCAAAAAACTAGTAAACATGTGCGTATGGTAGCAGGATTCTCTCACTGTGTGCCTTTCAAGAAACTTGTTATTGCTTATTATGGCATTTTTTTCAGATCACATGCAACTTCTAACATATCCTATGTTAAGACAAACCACAAGCAAATACAAATACATATACATACATATATATATATATANAGCATTCTTTACTACTAATATTTTTGTTTTATCATTTCAGGAAAGTCGTGATGCAAATGAGCCCGAGTCTCCTTTGGATACAATAGGATCATCTGGTGCTAGCAACATTTAGGGAGTTTATGATGTCCTTTAGGATGAAACTATATTTAGCCTATGGATTTTGAGTGATTATGAATTTAGTTATAATTACGATTCAATTTAACTTACTTTTATATAGTATGATGTTTTTGAGAATTGAATGTTTTAATGATATATAATTCAAGACTTTGGTAAAAGAAGTTTGTCATGCTTTTTTGTCTTCATTATAGTATTTGAATTTTGTTACAAATAAATATTGTTGACATGTAAGATAAATAGTACAAATGAGGCGACTTAAAACATTTAAATTATAATTGTCAAATTGAATATGGTATTAATCCAAAAAATTTTGAGAAAAACGGGGTTAATCTTTACACTAAAATAGTTGAAAATAAAAGAGGTTTCAAACCTCTACAAAATAATAGTCACTAATAGAAGAGGTTAAAACCCTCAACAAAAAGACCTCTGCAATATAAAGTGGATACCAGGAGTCATTGAAAACCCCCACAAATTAATAGCGACGACTCTAATTGCGGAGGTTTGAAAACCCCTGGAAATTAATTTGCGGAGGGTAAAAACCTCCGCAAAATGAAAAATAAACCTCCACTAAATAACAGTTTTTTTGTAGTGTGAGATAAAAAAAAAAGATGTTTCAAGAGAGAAAAATAGTACAGATTTATCTATTCAAGACTCTAATATTATAAAGAGACAAATGATACAAAAATTATCAATATTAAAAACCTATTTGTTTGTCTTTTATGCTTGTTTTTTTATTATGTTTGGATTGAATGATATTTTTTATTTTATTTTGAATTGTCTTTGGAGTTTAACATCTTTTAGGGTGAAATTTATTTAGATTTGAATTAAAAAAATTATAATTTTTTTTTATTTAAAAAAAAACTTATAATTAAGTGAGTCAGTGAGCCAACTCATTTAACACACCAACCCGTGATGAGTCGAGCCGAGTTCAAATGTTTTCAGCTCGCTAATAAGTGAGTCTGGTTGGGTTGACTCACTAAGTGACCAACCTGTGGTGGGCCGGACCGGGTCGAGCTAGGTTACCCGTTTTGACAGCTCTAGTTAATCCTCTTTTACTTGTTCTTTTTGTGGTTGATTGAAATGTGTGTTTTCATAAACATGGTTTTTCCACCAGTTAAGATAATAAATCTTCAAAATACAATAAGAAAACTTATATTCTCTATGGAAAAACTAGTCACATTATTGATGTTTGTTATCATAAACATTAGAGGTGACAAAACAGATTAGGTCGGACTGGCCTACCAATTGAAAACATATTGAAATTTATGACTCAACTTTTGAGCTAGTGAGTTGGTGGACTAGTAGGTCCGTTTTGATTTTTTCTTTCTAATTTGGAAGTTGGGACCCAGTTTTAGATTTTGTTGTTGTTGTATATGAGGCCCAGTTTCAATAGCTGTATGTGCAGTGCAATACATGTATCATTCAAAAACTTTACATATTTTGTAACATTCAAAAAATTAACTTGTCGACCATCAACATCTAATCTAATGTATTGTCAACAAAGGTACAAATTACTTAATACATAACAACATTAACAAAGTATTCAACACAAACTCCCATTATTATTTTTTTGTTCAATCTTCATCGTTTACCTTTTCAGGATTATTAGATGCACCATTAGAATAACTCTCCTCCACTCTTCCATCTTCATTAACATCATCATCTAGATATCACATGGAATGGAATTAAAAAAAGAAGTTAAAATATAAAATTTGGGCAGCATAACATTAATAAACTTCCAAGATGATTATTACAAGGTGGTGACACCTCTTTATATGGGCAAAGGTGTTACCTAAAACCCTAAAAGCAAATGGAACACTAAAGGACAAGGCTTGGACGAATTTGGAGGCCTTCTAGGATGGAGACAAAGTGTCCAAATCCTCTCCAATGGTGGAAGGACAAGTGGTCATTCAAAAAGCAAAACCTCTCCAATCCTATAGTGTCATGTAGCCACTTCTAAAATCAAATCCTCTCAAATGAAAGGATCATTCATGCACACACTTTCCACTTGGTTTGGATGCCTAACTTAAGAAAAATCCTATGCTAATTAGGCCTTAATATAAACCTTAAACAAACCTACACTACATGATTGAGTACAATGACCTAAATATCCTACACTACTCTTCAATCCATACTCCATGATGGCTCCAAAGGTGGTCCACAAGATAGAGTTGACACTATCTTCAAGGATGACTTTCACTCTCTTGAAAGTGCTTTGACCATGGCTAGAGGATATGCCATCAGTCTCATGCTTAGAACAATATTTAAAGAAAAGGTTGTGCAATTATTCCTTCATACTCTCTAACTTTACTCTTTAAGTTAGAAGATCTATCTTCTCATAGCAATATCTTAATGTTTCCAACTTCATCCTTGAGTCTAAAATTTCCCCAAATGTAAGTATAGTGTTATATTTATCCTGATATTTATCAAACTTCATATCATCATTCCAATCTTATCTCTAATAACTTGTAATTTCATAAAATGATAACAAGAAAAACACAAATTTATTGTACTCTTTTCCATTTATCTTCAAACAAATAATACTTGTAATTCTCATCAAGTAAGTGTAAACTTGCAAACACGTATTTAAGTGCACTTTAAAGCATAAAAAAAAGTTGAGTTTCATCTTATTATCAATTACTACTTTTGAATCCCTACAAAGCTAAAAGAAAATCTTCGATACAACTTTAAATAAATAATGAGTTTTTAAAAATATCATATTATTTATTAATATTAAAAAAAATACCATTCAGAATTAATTGACAATAGTTAAAAAGGAAAAAATAAATCGTAAAAAGGTATTTTCATTATTATTCACCATCATCCAGTAGATTGCCTATAGCTTGAACTCTAATATATATAAAATCTAATCTATATAAAAGAAAGAATAAATAATGAATATACATTCACTTGCATATAAAAAAATCATGTTGCCTTTAATTATAAACTAATAATATATGGTAAGTTTATGAAATTTTATAATAACTCATCTTATACCCTAATCATGATTTGTAATAGACTAATAGAGAATATTAAAACTTTTATGAATATAGTAGAAGTCAATTAAAGTCTAAAAATGTAGTATAAGAAAAGGTAGCATGATATTTGTATTATATATTTTCTGCTAAAGTAGATGTAACATTTTAGACTTTTAAATGATGAAATGAATCCGCACAATAAATGTCACTTGCAATCAAACAAAGAGACCTATATAACCCATAAATTCTTGTACTTGACGGAGTTTGGAATATAATATTCAACTCATGACATACGACACAATGCAATCAAAATTTCAAACTATTCTTTAATCTCACTTAAAGGCCAAAGTTAATTACGAGTTACCTTAATCCTACAAAGTGGATTTGTATTAATCCTACAAAGTGGATTTGTAAAGTAAAAATATTACTAAATGATTTGGAATTGTAATTGATATAAGATCTTTAATATACTTTGTGGTTTTGGAAATGAGACATTTCACATCTGAAATAAAATATTTGCAATTATTCCGATAAAAAGCAGACATAACAAAAATCAACGACAATTATTGAAATTTTCCCTATTACCATTTTAGAATGTTTGTTTAGAATGAAAGAAAGCAAAAATATAGAAAAATAAATTAAAAACACAAAAAATTGAGGTACAAAAATGTAAAAAATAATAATAAATAATACATACATAAAACTCTTTTTCCAACAATATATATAAACACAAGTTATGTATTTGTAACAATTAATTATATTTTAAGTATTTTATTAATTCGTTTCGTATCTTATATTGCATATATAATAATAAATACGTCCCTTTATATCTCATTAGTATTTATTTTCTCATTCATACTTTACTTTACTTTCTATTTATTTATTTTTTCTAATTCAAATTATTTTACTTTCTTGTTTTTCCACTCTCACTTTTCATAATTAAATTCAAACAAAGCTTTAAAATTATATTTTTATCAAAATTTTATTCATAAAAAATGTGTCTAAACTATCATTTATCTCAATTCTTAAGTTGTGTGTGACTTTTTGAACTCATCTGAAACAAAGAAATTTACATTAATCAATATTCTCTATATGTTAACAACATTTATAGAAAATTTACAATTTCGAAAATATATATATTTCATTTTCTGTATATACAGAGAGATAGAGAGAGAGAAAGTGAGAGGTGCTCCATTTCGTGGAAGCTGCAAAAGGCTGAATTGTTTGAATATGAAAATGGTTTTATTAGGTCTTCGTGTTGGACCATTCTGGCTCACAACAGTGGCGTGCTGAATATCAACCATGTATAAGTACTCATATTTCCCAACACAAAAACTTCAACAATCCTTCCACAAAATCTTCTTCACACAAGAGTAAAACACAAAACCAAAACTTATAAACTATTCTATATAGTGTTCAAGTTTATTGAAGATGGTTAGAGCTCCTTGTTGTGAGAAGATGGGATTGAAAAAGGGTCCTTGGACTCAAGACGAAGATCAAATCCTCATATCATACATCCAAAAACATGGCCATGGAAACTGGCGTGCGCTTCCAAAGCTTGCAGGTACTTCATCAATGTCTGACTGCTACAAAACAGATAAACAGAAGAAAAAAACAGTCTTTTTTATGAATAATTAACATGCTTCCTTTCACCTTTTTGAATAACTAACTTGGTATTTCTTGGACATGAGTTTATAATATATAAAGGAATGCAAAAACATCATCCTATTGTTGTTTGTTTGATTTATTGTGTTATGTTATCTTTAGTTTTATGTTCAAAATATATATATGATTGTGTTAGGTTTTAAAATACGATTTTTAACATTGGAATGGTTTATATTGTACTTTTGAGATGATTTGTGATGTTGTGTTCATTGATGTTATTCTGGGTTGTCTGGTATTTTTCTCAGGGCTATTGAGGTGTGGAAAGAGTTGCAGACTGAGATGGATTAACTACTTAAAACCTGATATCAAAAGAGGAAATTTCTCGAGTGAAGAAGAAGAGATTATCATCAAGATGCATGAGTTGCTGGGAAATAGGTAGGTTCATCTTTCTTCTTCAGATCAATGCATTATGGAACAATAATAATAATAATTGGTTAGTAATCTCCGGAAATTACTATAATGTGTGATTCTGTTCATGAAAGTGAATTTGTTTTTCTTTTGTTCTTATCTCTTTCTTGCTTTCTTTGAAATGTAATCAAGATTTAGTGGTGGGGCAAACGACATTAAAGTTGATTATAAAATTGAAAAGGAACTGGGTCCATTCCTTAATTATTAATTAATAAAGGTAGAAAGCCATTCCATTTGATAGAAAATCAAGGATTGATAATGGATTTTTATCACTTAATTTAATATTCGTCAAAAAAAAATACTCTAAAATGATTTTCATTGAATTTTCAAGCCATCTTTTTAGTTTATTTTATTAAATCATTTTAATATATTAGTTCCTTTTAAAACATCGATTATCAAGACTCTTACAGTATGCTTTTTTACACCATATCTTAATGAAATACATAATTTTTAAGTACAGATTTTAATCAATATGGCTTAATATTATTATTATTCAAAAAACTAGTAAACATGTGCGTATGGTAGCAGGATTCTCTCACTGTGTGCCTTTCAAGAAACTTGTTATTGCTTATTATGGCATTTTTTTCAGATCACATGCAACTTCTAACATATCCTATGTTAAGACAAACCACAAGCAAATACAAATACATATACATACATATATATATATATATATATATATATATATATATATAACTATTTTTTAGTCTGAAGCACTTTAACCTAGAAACTGAAACAAGAATCTGATGCAAAAGGTTAGCATATCTCAGAACATCATTAACATAAACCTTTGTTGTCAGGTGGTCAGCAATAGCAGCAAAACTACCAGGAAGAACTGACAATGAAATTAAGAATGTGTGGCACACTCATTTGAAGAAGAAGTTGCTGAATTCAGATAGCAAAAGGGTTGTTTCAAATCCAAAAATCAAACTATCTGATTCTAATTCCAGCACCCTAACATCATCCTCAGCATGCACTTCTTCCAGTGATTTTTCATCATTCAGTGAAGAAAACAAAAGCACGAACAACAACAGCATGATCAAGAGTGAAGACACAGAGTCTGAGGAGACAACAATGCCTCCAATTGATGAAAGCTTTTGGTCAGAGGCAACAGTTGAAGATGAAAGCTCCACCATGATGATGCCATCAAATTCTTGGACAATTTCCAATGAACCACAATTTAATCATGTGGAAACTTTCCAACAACATAGTTTTGGTTATAATGGTTCAAACTTTGATGATGGCATGGATTTTTGGTATGACATATTCATCAGATCAGAAGAGTCAATAGAGTTGCCGGAGTTCTGATCAATTTATCATCAAAGGGTATCATTAAATTTGGTAGATAGGAAAAAATAATTTAAAAGGAAGAATAATTATATTAGCAAATTATATCTGACTGTTACAAGGAATCCAGGGTATATTATTAAGAGCTAGAGTCATTCATTGCCAAAAAAAGTCTGTGTAAAGGGTTAAAAAAATTATTACGTTATGATGTAATATATGCATGAAAAATGGGCAAAAATATGCAAACACTAACTTTGTTTTATGTATATTGTGCAGTACTAGAAAAAAGTTTGATTAGGTTAGGGCTATTCAAATTGTAATAGCAAAAAATTGTGTGATGGAGTATTCAATTTTTTTCACTCTCTTCTTGTGTTTTGTTGTTTATGTCCTTTTTGTTTGGATTTATCTTTGAGAGCATCGCTTAAATTAACTATGTGAATTATTAAATTTGAATTGGTCCAACGGATAATTGCAACTTGCAAGTTATTTTTGGCTGCTCTGAAAAGTAAATTTTGTCACCCATGGATGCTTAAAAAATCACTCGACCTTATTCTCTGTATCTTTCTCTGTTCAAATTGACAACTAACAAAACTTAGAAATGACATTTTTTTAATTATAAAATATTTTCTTAAAATAGATGAATTTTTATTAGTAAAAGGATAAATTTGTTAACATAAAAGTGAAAAAATAAATGCAAAACTGAAGTACAATTAAAAGAATTTTAGTGATATCATGGTAACACATTAAACGAATCCCAACTCATATTTGGTAGAAAAATATTCTTTGACGTCTCTGAAGAAAATACGTTCACATGTGAATTCATTTTAATAATATTTATTAGAAGTTTAAATTAAAAAAAATAAATAAATACTATTATTACTAGTTACTAAGTGAGTTTTTTTTATTTTATTTGGTGATTCACCACCGCATTTAGTATAAGGTTAAGTTACTATTTATTTTAAATGAAGCTGCATCAGTGAGTATAGTGATGGATCATAAGCTTAATTTCATGATAATTTCATTTAAAATAAGATTAAAGAGTTGAATATTTTTGCAGCCATATATAATATTGATATACCTCATTTTTTGGATAAATAGTAACTTAGCTTTCCAAGTTTACCCTTATATTTGTATCTCTTCAAAATCATCAAACCTACTTATAAAGCATAAAAACAAGAAAAATAAACAATTGAAAAATTCTCAAGATTTCTCTGAAGAGTTATATACGTTTCAATTAAAACAAAGCTAATCACTCTTATATGTTTCAATGACTAATAACATTATTAATCACAACAATAATCGATATTAATATTCTTAGTCAAACAAAATTAATGAATTTGCATACACAATTACCCGTGAATAAAAGTTAATAACCAATGACAGAATATTTTGCATATTTACACTTTTAGGGTTTAAATATTTTGATTTTATTTTTCACTGACTAATAAGAAAGTTAGGAAGAAAAATTACGTTAGGACTTAGGAGTGTGAGAAAAAGATGGTATAGGTAAAAAGCATCGATGATGACGTTATTGCACAAGAGCTGAGGTATGCGTCTGCACGCTAGTGCATCCAACATATAAAGCCACCACAACACACCAAAAAGTTGAAGCCATTAAAGCACATAATCCAACTAAATATGCGGCTCATGATATATTAAATACCATGACTAAAACTGTTAAACTCAAATATCCTCCTAAAAGGATTAGATGTTGCAAAACAACAAGTAATGCCAATGAAAAGCACACTCTCTGCACTCATACTTCCTTTGTTCTGTCTTGGAGAATTATTCAAAATTGAAGCTACACTTCTATACGCAAAAACATGGTCAATGTGTCTAAGAGAGGCATGAGTAAGCCAATGCCTTCTCCTCAGAAAGCTCTTCTCCTGTCAAGTCCAACTTCTTCCTTGAGTACTCGTCAATTGGAAGTCCTGAGCAAATTATTGGACAAATGAAACAATTATCAGATGCATTCATTCAAGTTAGAACATGTGGTTGTTTTGAAAAAGTAGTGTAATTATTACAAAAACATCATTTAATAGAAAAACAACAAAGCCTTTATTCAACTAAAGATGATTCGGTTCAGTTAATTACTAGAGTTTTATCAATGTTATCTGTCATGAATAAACATTCTCGAAACTCAAACTGGCCCGTACTGTTAGTTGCATTGAAAGCATCATCCATAGAAGTGATTGTTAAAGTAATCGTTGTTTCAGTACAAAATACAAGGGTGATGACAAGAGAAAAAAACGTATCCGCGTTTAGATTCAACACACCATCATGTGACAAAAACTAACCTTGGACAATTGTCCATTCCCCATTGGCACAAGTGACAGGGAATGAATAGATCAGTCCAGCTGGAACATTGTACGAACCATCGGAATATACTCCCATTGACACCCAGGTGCCCTAAAATAGCAATGCAAAAATAAACAATTAACTTAGCTGGAGACACATACAAAACCTGAATTAAAAATCAAACAAAAGCCCAACCAACCTGAAGAGTTCCAAGAACCCAATCTCTAATATGGTCACAAGCAGCACTAGCAGCTGATAGTGCACTTGAAAGCTTTCTAGCCTTGATAATTGCAGCACCACGTTGTTGAACAGTTGTAATGAACTCCCCATTCAACCTTGAGTATGAAAATTTGCAGCAATGTTTCAATAAACACAATCTTAAAAGAGAACTACCATAATTTACATTATTTGTAACATACCAGGCATCATCAGCAACAAGTTCACGGACTGATTTGTCCCCAGCTGGGGTTGTAACAGTTGCATGGTTAACATCGGGATACTGAGTGGATGAGTGATTACCCCAGATTATGACATTCTTCACTTCAGAAACCTGAACACCAAGTCTTTCAGAAATTTGCCCCAGGGCCCTGTTGTGATCCAATCTAGTCAAACAAGAAATGTTTTTCTCTGGAATTGATGGGGCGAATTCCTTCAAGATCAATGCATTGGTGTTTGCTGGGTTAGCAACAACCAGAACCTGCAGGGTAATGCAAAATCTTTTATAAATATTCCAATAAAACATGTTTTTGAAAAAGATAACATGCAGTATACATTTCATGAATAGACATATACAGTTAGGTTTTATTAAGATTGAATCACAAGAAACAAGAACTTCACCATATATATAGTACAATTGCACATATATGAACTAGGTGGAGTTTATTCCATAATGCATAGTTCATGTAAAGTTTCGAATCTCCTATAAGTGGTCAAAGTTCAACAAGCAAGTACAAAAACTCAACATAATTACGGGGATACATATAAAGCCATTGCAACTGCAAATATGTTAATGGGTACAAAAGCTGCTGCAAATAAGCATATCTGCTTATATTTCATTGGACTTGTGTGAAACCAACAAAATTAACAGCTTTCAATTAGAAGACAAAATCAACATGCCCCAACAAAATACAAGTTTTGCCAACAAAAAAAAACAGTTGAAATTTAATCAAATGTAGTTAATAAGGACTGCAGATTCAGATGAAAGGGATTACCTTGCAGTTTGCAGCAGCATGTTTTTCAAGGGCAGAAGCCTGAGACTTGTAAATTGAGACATTCTTAGACATCACATCTTTCCTCTCCATACCTTCTTTTCTTGGGAATCCACCAACCATCACGGCAATATTGACACCAGTGCATGCCTCAACCACATCAGTTGTTGCAACAACACCTGAAACAAAAATGTTCACACTATTGATTATATAAACCACTAAAACAACCTATCTCAACTCTAAGATCGAGTTTCTATGTTGTTTAAGAAGACACTTTCAACAATGGAGTGTCAAACCTTTAAGAAGAGGGAATGCAGCATCCACCAATTCCATTTTAACCCCATTCAATGATTCTGCTGCTGGAGGAATATCAAGCATGTGGAGGATCACAGGCTGGTCAGGACCCAACATCACTCCTCTAGCAATCATAGGGACAAGAGCATATCCAATTTGTCCTACAATTGATAAAAGCACTTGATTAGCACATCAACATGATAAAAATAAATTTCCATGCATTCACATGCAGACCAAATTCAGTTGAAGGCAACAAATCATACCATCAGAAAACATCATTGTAAGTTTTTAACGAGGTCTATAAATAACTTGAAACAACACATAGATCTTTGCTTAAAAGAAAATAAAAAAAGAAAAGAAGAGAGTACAGAAACACCAACAACAGAAAGTGCACCTCCAGAAAAAAAAAATCAAATTGACTAAGGCTTCTGTTTTCAGTTCAATTAAAGTGTATAGTGACAGCAATTTTTCTTATACAACAGTGATAAACACACAATATAATCAAACAGATTTCATTCTTGATCCTACCCACGAAAGTAATCTATGGTGCCCCGGATACGACATGTCAGATACATGATACAAATCGAAAGTCTCGGTACTTCTTAGATAGTAAGTCAACTTGCAACACAGAATATAACAGAATCGGATGTTTCTCATACAATCACAGAGAAGAAACATACCAAGAAACCATAAGATGATAAAAGATGCAGATACTCAAAACTACGCTATTTTCAACTTCCACTCCCTAATGAAACATAAAACACATTCCATTTCTTTATAACAGCATAAAAAAACAACCTTAACAGACAGTTAAATTAGAATCACAAGCCAAACTTACAAATCAAATCAACAAAAACAAATCTACATAAAAAGGGATCACAACACATAGATGTAAACCAACACCAAGGTTCATCCCAGAAACAGATCTGAGCCATAAGCAGATCAAGTTTCAAACACAGCCAAAGACATCATTTTCATAGAGACCCATAACTTAAGACCATCAAACAAATTCAAAACAACCATCAGACGACAGATCTCGCATTGAAAACACAGAAGGGTAAAACCAAGCGATCGTGACGAATCTAAAAGAAATGAAAGGTACAAAAATAGATTCTGGATAATAGAGGAGTACCTGCTGCGCCTGTGACAAGAACACGAACTGGGTCTTTGGCCATTTTGGAAGAAATGGAACGATTTGAAAGAACTAAGAGGGTTGAAGATATGAATGAACACTGAAGGAGTGACGGAGTGAGGGTGGACTTGGGTATTTATTTGAGTGGAGATGGTTAGAACGAATCGGAACGACGCCGCTTGACTCTATATTTCTTCTAACGTAAAATATGCAAATAATGTAGAGAAGTATTACTATACTATTTTTATTCTTTTTAGAGGAAAAACACTTATTAGAAAGAAAAAAAAAACACCTGAGTATATAAATTAGTACAAATTTGTTTATAAAATTTCATCGCATTGATTTTTAAGGTATAAATTACATGTAGTTTATAGAAAAAGAAACTTTTTTTTTCTTCCATAAATATTTCTGGATAAAGCTAATGCGGCCCTACTAGTTTAAAAAGTATATGAATAGAATGAAAAATAAAATTAATATATTTAGTATAATTTATATGAATTTTATCTAATATGGAAAGCGTAAAAAGAGAATGTTAACAATCAAATAGTTAAATTTAATTTATTTGAATTAACATATAACAAATTAAATTTAAAGATAACCATGTTTTTTTTAATAAATTTACTTGTAAATAATTACAGATGAGAAAAAATTAAAAAAAAAACACTATAGTTATTTTAGGACGAAGTGATTTTTTTATTATATTTCAGTAAGTAGTTTTAAAATAGGGTTAAATATGTTTTTAGTCCCTAAACTATTGGCCGTTTTTAGTTTTAGTCCCTCTTTCAAAGTAAGGTACAATTTGGTCCTCATTCTTTTCGAAAAATTCGTTTTAGTCCTCGAAAACTAAACACTGTTTAAAAATTTGGTCCTCATAATTCCGAGGAGGACTAAAACGAACGTTCCGAAAAGAATGAGGACCAAATTGTACCTTAATTTGATTTGAAAGAGAGACGAAAACAAAAAACAGCCAATAGTTTAGGGACTAAAAACATATTTAACCATTTAAAATATGACAGAAGGGTGTGTAAAACTTGTGAAATAATAAATATAAGACGGAAAAGGAATATTCTGTGTATATGCTTAACAGAAGGGTTAAGAGAGGTTGAGTGGTCACGGAGCATCCATTGAAGTGGGGTCCTTTAATTTGTGTGATGAGACATCATCAGCCACATATGTGGTAAGGTGTGGACCTTGATTTTTAGCTTTTTCAAAGTTTAGAATCTCTTTCCTAACCTCATAAAATTACCTTTTTTTTTTTTTTTTTTTAAAATTATCTGTAAATTATATACTATATATCTATTGATAATTCAACACATGTTTGAATTACTGTAATTGCCATTGTCACGTGTATTCATTAAAAGAAAAATAAAATTAATATTAATTAAATTTTGTTTTAATAAATACATTTAACAATTATTAAAAACTAAATATGTGATTTAACCATTAACTAAGTTTCAACAAAATTAAAACAATTAAAGTTTTTCACTAAGACTATAATTTCTTTCTTATTATAGTAAGAACAAAATATAGTGTATAGTATAAGTTTTTCTATAGAGATACTCTTATAATTTTTCTTTATAAATGTTTGAGTTTGATAAAACTATATATTTTTGTTATGATCAAAACTAATAATCCTCTAAAATATATTGATCTATATAATGACTATACCGTTATAACATTTTTAGATAATATCATTTCATGACCAAAGTGTATTTGAAATATAAACCAATCATTACCTCATTATCTTCCAAAAGAATAATATTTCAGATAAAATAATTGATAGTAAAGATATTATCTACCTAATTTATAATTAAAACATTGGTTTTTAACCCATCAATAACTAATTTAGAATTGAAACATTGAAGATAATATCTAATTACAAGTGATTTTAATTCTTAATTTATGAACTTATCCAATGCACTTAAAATTTTCACATCACTTAAAAAGTATTATCAATGATAACTTATATAAACATGTTTCTCTTTTAACCCATCAATACACTATTAAAAACAAATAAATGTGTGACATGTCATGTGTTCTAAATTATCAATAATTGACATGTAAATAACTAAATAATACTAATTCAATTATGCTAATAGTACTTTTACAATTCAATGACTTTAAAACGTTATAAAGTATATTACATGTACATTTAACAATGTTTGAAAAACATTATCTTTGTATTTTTAAAACGTTATTTACATTTTTTTTCATGTTATTTTTCTCTCATTGTTTTCCCTTAGATCTTCCCAATAGACTAATATTTCACCCTTAACTAGTTACATTGACATTTTAATCATTGATGGGTCATTGCCTCTATTATCCATTCAATGTTATTGATTGACAACACAAGTGAGATTATTGAAAGTCATTTAGGCTCCATTTAATAAATAAAAAAAAGAATAAATGGTATATAAAACAAATGGAAAGATAAATAAATAAGAAGTAAAGTAAAAATTATTTTGTTGAAGAAAAATGAAAAACAAAAGAAATATATAATATTATTACTACTTTATTTTTGAGAAAATGAGCATCCAAAATAAAAAAAAATAAAAAAAAGTTAGATCAATTTTGGAACTTCATAATCGATTATAACATATCTTTAACCCAAAATATGTTTCAATTATATAAGTTTGATGTCCTAATCGTGATTTTCTTTTATCAGCATATATAATTTCGGATATATACATATGGTAGATATTAACTAATAAATTATTTTACTTAATTTCATACATCAAAGATTGTCGTTGTAGTATAGTGGTAAGTATTTCCGCCTGTCACGCGGACGACCCGGGTTCGATCCTCGGCAACGGCGTTTTTTGGAATTTTTATAATTTCATGTTTTTATTTATTTTTTTTATCATTCTCTACTTTTAGGGTTACATTGATTTCATTTTACTACATTGTATTTTATATTGCATCACACGAATACCAAACTGGTTAGCTTTCAATAACTAAAACTGATTTTTTTTTTTCTGATATTCGAAATGAATATACAATGTAATTAGATAAACCAATTTTCCACAAGTTAATTCATAAGTGGTAAAAAATAAATTAATATAATTGTATATATGTAGCTAATGATATTATGAGGTGAGGTGGTTAACTTTATTTTATATGGGGATATTACTGAAATTATCCATAAAACTATTTATGATTACGTTTATGTATCTTTAATTATTTGCAACAAAATTAACCATTGTTCGTTGTTGGATAGACAAATTCTTTTCCCAGATGTTAGTTCATCACATTATTAAAGTTGAGGCACTTTTCTAGCTTGTGAGCTGGATGAGTCAAAAAAATCACTATTTCCTGAGAAAGCAACTGAAAATAATTGAAGTTAGAGAGAAAATGAATGCATGTGGACATTGGACAAGAACAAACAAATTGACAAGAAAAACCAGACAACATTAAAGCAAATGTTTTCACCACAAACACAAAGCTTAACAAAACTCTCAAATACATTGTATACACACTTCATTATCTGTCAGATTACAGAACAATGCACAATCCATCAGATGCTTATTTTCAACCAAAAGAAGAATGAATGCAAATTATGTTTACACAAGAAAAAGGAAAAAGCCCCTCACAAACCCTACTTTCCTATACATCTTCACACAAACAACTACTTATAAAGCAATTATATATGTGTTCACTTTGTTTCTCAACAGAATCCAAAATGAAATGAAAAAGAAACTATGTATCAAACCATCATGCTCCATGTATGTATACATCAATCTTATACTCTATATGTCAAATTAGATAAATGAAACAGTTGCTGAGATCAAATTTCTTTAGGCACTTCGTGCTAGCATCTCCTGGAATTCAAGCATTGACCTCTCTTTCTGAAGCCTCATATCTTCACGAAACTTGCTGATGAATTCTTCTGCCTTTTGATCAACGTGTAGTTGTGGAGACTTAGCAACCACAACCTTCCATGCATCCTCTATAGTGTTCAATCCACTACTCTCACCGCTTTGATTCTGGCTGCGATGCTTATCAGTTAAACTTCTCTTGACAGTAATTTCACTGTGGTGATTCTGGTTGGTACACTCATAGGTCAAATTTCTCTTCAAAAGGGTGTGACTTTGGTTGTAACACTCACCAACCAAATTACCCTTTAAGATGGAATGCTCCTCTTTCTCTTTGCCTTTGCTCGTTTGCCCTTGTGCATGAGCACTTCTGTTGTTGGTGGCATGCATGGACACGGAATTGGCCTTGTCAAAGAGGTCATCTATGTGTATGGCTGCACAGTGCTTGTGTTGAACATGGTAGTAAGTTGTGGCACGAGGCCTTGTAGTGGTGAGTGAGCGATGAAGTTTAGAGTGTATGAGATGGCCAAGGGAGTGAAAAGCTGAGAGGAGGCGTTGAAGGGTGGTTTTGAAGGACTTGGGGATGTTGAGTTTGTGGAGTTTGTATTGGACTGTGTTGGAAAAGCTATTCCATGCCTTCTTTGCAGGTTGAAGCTTCTTACCTAGCCTCATGCGAGACATCACAAAGTGAAGGGTGGTTTTGGTCTGATGAGAGAAAGAGTACTTGGAAGAAGAAAGAATGTGTATCTAAAGGGAGGGAAGAACTCTTAGAAATGGTTCTCAATATCATGAAGGAACCCTTTTATGCCCCATTTTAGTTTTTAAACAATAAATTTGTTCTACAAGTTGCTACCATCTTTTTGGTGCCTCAAATTGGCACATTTTTATCACAAGAATTACTCAACTGCCATTGCTTTGTTTTCTGCATTATTTGTCAAAAATTGCAGTTGATGGCATGAATTGAAATAACATGAAATCTTGATCTTAAGGGTGTAATTATCACTCCTAACTCAACACTTTCGGCAGAATTGACAGCATAGAAGCAACCTTGGGTGCTAAGTATTGTGAGAAAATGAGCAAAGGTATATTCTGTAGAGACCAATATTATAGGTTTTCCCATGTGGTGGCAGTATGCAACTTTTGAGTTGTATTGTGGGCTCCTTTTCTTTATTTCTAATGTAAAAGTCAGGTTGATCACTGATCAGAACCCCGCTCCCCATTGCAGAAAAGGAAAAAGAATGACACTTTCTTTGTTTCAGTTAGATTGCCACTGCCTTAAGTTTTGTGGAATCATAAAACTTTTTCATATATTATGGTCAAATCACTTTATTTTCAAGATTTCATAAAATCATTTCATATACACTGAAGTCTAATCATCCTCTCTAATAATGTGAATTTCAGTCTTCTTAAAATCACTTCATCTTCAGATTTCTTAAAATCAGTTTATCTGCAGTCTAAGTCTAATCACCTCCACCCTCCTCTTTAATAATTTGAGTCTTATTTAAAATACACTAAAGTAATCATGATCAATTTATGATAAAAAGTTAGGATAAGTTGTAGTACTAACTTTTCCTCTATCTCAAACTATCAATGAAATGGCCATTTTATGGACACATCTGCTTTCATTTTTCAAAGGAAGACATTGAGGATTTGAATGTCCCCTGTTGAATAGACTAGACGACGGAAAATGGGCTGGCACTGAAAGTTTACACCACTCTTTCCCCATTTGTTTTGGAAGCATTGTGATTAGGCCATGTTTGGCAGCCAATTAGAGAGGATAGTGATTTTTGACTCACCACAAAGCATACCACCGTCCCCTCCACCTTGCTTAGAAAGAGATAACAACAAACAGTAGGGTTTGGATATTTTTCACAATAGTATTATGGTCCTGTTTAAATCATCTTCTTCATAAGTATTTATAGACAAAATATAAAAAATAAAATGAATTGAACTTATTCCATATGTTAAAATAACCTGTGTACATTTGGTTTTGGAAAAGTTGAATGGAAAATCTTCTGTAAGAGTTAAGTCAACATGAAAAACTTGACTCGTTTTACATTTTTTTTTCTTTTGTAAGTGTTTGAAGAAATTTATTTAAATAGCCTTTTCCTTTCTGTTAAAAACTGGGAACTCACTTTATTTAACATATCCTTTTAGTAGTAGTAACATCAGCCTGAAACAACTATTTCAGGATATTTAGTTTAATCATTCACACTTGCTGCCACTGTTGAACCAAGAGCCTGCTACATCAAATTTAACAGAACATGAAGTATGGAACTATTAGTGTCATTCTTACTATTGTTATGTGAAGTGTGGTTGGAGCACAGTTCATCATTCGTCTATTAATTGAATCTCTAGATTTGGTAGAGGAGCTAAATTACACACGTACCAATGTACAATACCAATAACAATATCTGTGTTTGAAGGCCAAAAATACAAAAGCTAATAAAAGGGATTTATAGAGGAAGAGTTACAGGGTAAGTGAGATCCAAATAATGTTAATCAAAAGTAAATTTTGCTACCTCTAAATCATACTACATATTCTATCCTCTATTCAAGGTCATATCAAGACTGCTGTAGATACTGACATGTTTTTTACAGTAATTAGCCTAATATAGTTTTTTTACACTTGAGAGACTGATGCTACCTCTATTCTCTGAATCATTTCATCAGAATATTGTATGTCCAGGTAAACCAGAGAAATATGTTTAGGAAGAAGGTAACGCCTCACTATTCTCTTCAGCATTTGTAGAGGTAACAGATGGTTCAGTAATTGCATTTTTTGTGGGTGGTGGTGGAATGTATTTACTATACACCTTATCTTTGTTTTGGTTCCACCATTCTTCTGCTTGCTGCTCATTGAATCTTCGTTTACTGCACAAGGAAAAGAGAAAACAGACAGAGATAATATTAAAGACAGGAACAATTAAAATAAGAAAATCAATACTCTAATCGTACAATATAGTAGATTATAATGTTTCAAAGTGTTAACCCCCTGCCATCAAACTAAGGAAAAAATAAATAAAAAGCCAAATTCCCTAGAAGCTTTTCATATAATCATGGTAACATTTGCCTTCCTCATGCCAATACTGTAAAAGAAAAAATGTCTTTCTAAATCTAAATCTATCTATCTATCTATCTATCTATCTATATATATATGAGTGTATGTGTGTATCAATATCAAGTAGTAATAAACGAAAAAAAAGAAAGTTGAGAAGCTATCAATGCACATCACTACCTCCATAAGAGCGAATTTGTATGATATAACATGATTGGTGTTCGGAATGGAAATAGAAGATCTTGAATGATTTCAACATCTAGTTACCGTTTTAACCAAAAATATAAATTGTTACATGCAGTAGCCACATTACGAAGCAGGATTTTTTGTGAAACTTCTAAAAAGCAATCAACATATACAATGATAAACCTAATGCAGAAAATATGTGGAAATTGGTTAGAAAAGAAGTAGTTCTTATACCTGAATCTAATTCGTTTGAAAACTTTGTAACCATTAGGTAGTACAACGAGGGTGACATAAACACCTGACTCAAATTGTTCAATGATTGATCTTTCTCCTTCTGTCAAATGTACATTGGAGTCCCTTAATCTTGAAATATTTCTTGAGTTTGGTGGACTCACTGCTCTACTAGATGCAGATGAGTTGCCGGTTTCTTCAAAAGTATTTTCTCCGTCTGGGGATGGAACAACCCCGGAAGTATCATCGCTTCGCTCTTTCAGCTTTGGAGAGTTACTATCCGAGGCAGGTACATCAGGTGCACTTTGTGGATTAGAGTTGAGGCTCAGTTGGGAGGAAGAAGGTTCCAAACGTTTTTCTTCATTAAGAAACTCTTCAGCTTGAGCATGCATGGTTCTCAAAGTCTCATTGTCAGGAATCTCAGATTGCAAAGTCTCAATCACTTCCCTCAACTAAATAAACCAAATGCAGAAGCAAGTTCAGCTTGATACAAACTTCTCAACAAGCAATAACGTCAAAGCAGATAAAATAAACCTTGGAGATAAATGTATTAAACCTTTTGCATATGGTAAAATCAACTTTTGCATCTTAACTTTTCAAAAGTTTTTGCAGCTAACTTCTTCATAAATACCTATAGGCTATAAACTTATAAGGGGTATTTTGTATGTTAGGAATCAAATACTTATCTCAATTTGAAAAGCTCTCATTAGATAGAAGCTAATCTGAACCTTAGTATGATAAAGATGTGTTTGGACAAGCTTCTCCAAAGGATTTACAGGAGAAAAATATGAAGTATAAAATATAATTAACTTTTCCACAAGTCAAAATTAGTTCATATATAAGTTAAAAATAAAAATTTAGAAACATTATATTAGAAAATTTTTACGACTTAGCTTATGGATAAGCTAATTTTAACTTATGAAGTCGACTTCATATTTTCCTCCTAAGAGTCTTTTTGGAAAGTCCGTCCAGAAAGGCCCTAAGTCAGATATTCTGATCAACTTCCTTTTCTTTCCTTCAATCATTAAGCTTATCATAACAAGCAATGACTTTAGTTAATCCAATTCATTACCAGTACATTGATGAAGTCATGAAGGTTCATTTGTGTAGAGTTATCTAGATTGAAAAATTAAGCTCGTGTCTTGCAATATCTCCTTAGGGAACAAGTATACAAAAAAAAAAAAGATGGTTCATCTATCTTGAAGAAAGTTATTTCTCCTTTAAGGTGTAGAAGGTAAAAATTATCAACATTAATTATGTAACTGTGAAACTCAACCTGACTGCAACTAAATGATTGCTTTTTGTTGCTTAGTTTTAGGGAATGTTGACAATCATTAAAGATAGTTATCTATTTTCTAATTCTTGCCGAAAGACTTTGAAGAATAGTAGATTGTCATGGACATCTGCCCAATCATAAGATGTTTATGCAGTCTTGGTTTTCCAAATTTAACTCTTTGAAGTGATAAAACAAATGCAAGAGATGCTAAAACTGTGTCGGGACTACACAACGGAGTTTCTTTCATATAAACTTAATGCAATAAATACAAATAAACATAGGATGGTGATCCGTTTTACACGATAGGATTTTGGATAAAACATTGTTCCAAGACTCGAGCAAGAATAATTTGAATAAACTTGAGTTCAACTGTTAAGTCAAAATATAGAATTATGATACCTTATCTGTCATGGACTTAATAAAATCCTTTGCTTCCCTAAACTTAGAAGATTCCTCTTCAATAACTTTCTGAAGCTCCTGAATCTTCATTTCTTGTGTTTCACTCTTCTGCTTCAAACTTTTATTCTATGCAAGAAAAGAATTATACACAAATTATATTAATTGGCACAAGTTCTGGTCGGAGAATAAAGAACATAATTAATAGATATTAAAGAGGTATGAACTATGAAATATACTTTGTTTTGCAATTTTGAGACTTCTTGAGTCATATGATCACTTTTCTTTTTTAAATTATCAATAAGGCTTCTTGAAAATCCAGGGGAGGTAGAACGAGGTGGGCTTGGTGGTCTTCTTTTAGCATATGGTGACATAGGTCTAATTGGTGGAGGTGGAGACTGAGTATGACTTGACTGAATAAGAGGCTTGAAAAAATTCTGTGCAGAACTCAGCGAAATTGGAAATGCGACATCTTTCAATTGCAAAGATATAGGAACTTGAGCTGCTCGGACCATGGAAGAAGTCTCATCTATATTTCCATGCTTAATAGTCCTAATCTCAAGGTATTTTATGGGTTCTGTGATGGGAGGCAAGAGAATTCTGGAAGACTTCACCTCTGCCCGCTCAAATTTTTCCCTTCCATACGAGGAAGGACGACTAATTTCTTTATTTAAGTTTGAAGCACTATCAGCACCTTTTAGCTTAGCATAACAAGCATCACACACACGATGTGGTTTGCTAGGTGTCGGAGCCAATGCTGCTCTAGAAGCCTTTTTTGAACTACAAGGATGGCAAAACACCAATCCACAATTATAGCAATTATGCCTTTTTCGGGTAAAACCAAACGGTTGTCGACAATCAGAGCAAACAGATTGGTCAACTCCAGAAAGCCATTTATGTAAGCATATACAACATGTAAAGGTAGAGCCACATGCGATATTCCTAACATGCCTGTCTTTCAAGGCTTCTACCAAGGTTGGAGTTTTCTGGTCATCTGTGTCTCCGTGTCCTAGTCTTCCATTGGCACCTCTACCCCAAGTATATAGTTCACTTCTTGAAGTCAATACAGCGACATGATTTGCTCCGCATGCTATTTCCTCCACGAACTCACCTACCAACTTATCTCGGACTAGAATTGGGACTTTTCCATCAGAATTTGGATTTCCTAGTTGACCATATGCTGTGCCTCCCATTGTAAAAACATGACCAGATACAGTGAGTGCAACAGTCATAGTGTACCCACATGCAATCTGGTTAAAGCTATAATCAGCAAGGGCAGCTACACAAGTTGGTTGAAGGTAATTTTCCTTGTTAACATGACCCAAACGATACTGATCACCATCACCCCATGTGAAGATCTTCTTGGATGAAGGGTTTGAACCAGACGGATCCATAATCTCTATAATAGCAGCTGAATGCCACATTCCACATGCAACTTTAATAGCCTTTTGTCCACTCAATAATTGTACCTGCTTTGGATATGATACACATTCTCTATCTCCATGGCCTAATACACCAAATCTTCCATCACCAAAGGTAAACAATTTCCCAAGGGTGGTTGCTAATGCTGAATGCCATGCGCCGCATGCTACGGATACAACCTGGTGTCCCTCTAAAGCGCCACTCACCCTCTTTGGTATGCAGTAGCTAACATCACTGCCATGACCAAGAAGTCCTGCACTATTTGTAGCATCACCCCAGGTGAACAAGTCACCAGATACAGACACGGCACATGAATGATATTCACCACATGCAACAGAAGACATGTTGGTAATTGCTAGGGACTCTACAAGATGAGGTCGGCCAAAATCTTTTTCAAAGCCATGGCCAAGTCTTCCACCAGAGTCCTCTCCCCATGTAAAAAGCTCACCTTGCCTTGTAACTAACGCAATGTGACGTACACCGGGCCCAATCTGATTGACATCAAGAACAACATCAGATTCTAATGCCTTAGGAGTCAACACATCAATCTTACCAGAAGCTTGGCTCCCCAATCCATCAGATGAATTGCCATCTCCCCAAACCTCTCCCCATATGAAAACATCACCAAGAGATTCTATGTCATCTAGTCCTGATCCTACACTACTTGAGTGGCTAATACTTGATATACTAACACGAGAACCATCTCCGATACTTGTCCTCTGTGCCATATTTGTATCCGACCTGGACCAAGACGATGTAGATTCATGAGATGCCGATTCAAAAGAAAACCTGCTACGGCTAATGCTTGATGCGAACTCTAGTGTTCCAGCAACTAAGTCAACACAATCCTGCAAGGAGAGTCAAAAGAATTACTTTACCTAAATGCTCTAAAAACATAGATGTTAGAAACAATACACACACATACGCACACATTTATATACATAATACATGTGTGTGTGTGTGCGTGTGCACCCGTGCAAAACCACTTGAGCTTTAACAAGAATTCTCATGGTTTCCATGACCAAGTAGTTAAAAATTTGATATTTGTATCCACGACCAACTTAGATTTTAATCTTTGAGAAATTGGAGGAATATATAGGAAGTAGAAACTGTGTAACCTATAAACTAAGATAAGTTTAAAACAAACTGTCATTCAAACAATTTCTTTTAACTCACATTGCTTAAATCACTTATTCCACGCTTAATACGCTCTCCAGAGGAAATTAATGCTTTAAGACATGAAAACCATATCTCTACCTCTGCTTGGTCCTTGCAGATCTAACAATATGAAAAGGGGAAGCAACAGATTCAAAATTTATACGAAATTGACAAATTTAAATTTAAAATGACTGTGTTTTCAAACCAGATCAAGTGATCTTTCCCCCTTCTTGTAAATCAGTGAAAATGACAGATAATCCTTTTCAGGACGCAAGTATCTTCTAAAGACAGCCTGCAGTTAAAAGGAAACCCAAGATATCTTTATCAGAGTGCTAACATAACCATGAAATTAGCCTCCAAAGACCAAACATATAACTCACTGTTCTCTGTCCTGGGATGATGTGTGAAACAGCAGCTAATTTTAGATTCTTTTCCTTTCCATGAGAAATCCAAATCAGCTTTGTTTCATCCTGCTAATGCTACTAAATATGAAATCATTCATGAAGAGGTATGAAATTCAATATATAAATAATAAGCATGCACCATTGTTTGCACAGTATGCTGAATTTTATTCAGCACACATACTCACCGATGAGAGTCTGAACGAACAAAATTTCGGCTTCCCTTTTCGACTATACTTTACTAACTGCGTGCCCTTTTTTAATGTAATGAACGCCTTCATAAAGAAACAAGACAAAAATTAAATTAAGTGGAGCACCGAAGTGTTAAGGTAGTAGCAAAAGAGAGAAGCAATGCCACACAAAAGATAGAAACCCTGGCAATGTTATAACACGAAGCAACATAATCTCAACAGAATCAAATCACAGTGATAATTTATATTCCAGACAAAAAAAAAGACTCCTTTGTGTTTTCCCCATTTAGATAAAGTGATTTTGAAATGAAACAAACTGTAAGCTTTGGAGGCATGTCTTATCTCCAACTACACCATAACAAAAGATTCCTCAATATTTAGATTTTTCTTTTCATGATAACAACTTCAAAAATGAATACTCACTTCAAACAAACAAGCATACCCATGCCTAATGTGAGAAATTAAAAGAAAAGTTCTAATATTTTTCTGTTACAAGCCTAACCAAACCACACATTCTTTTAAATTTTTCAGATAAAAGCTTTTGGTGGTGAAACTAACTTGCTCGAGACGCTCAGAACTTCCAAAGATAGAAAGATCTGCCATTCCATCTGAGAGAAATTGTAAGGAAACCACAGAAGAGGACAAAGCTCAAGCATCATGCTTTCTACTTAGGCCTCTCATCAAAGTCTCCAAAAACCTCGAGATGAAAATTTCCCCCCAGAATTTGGACAATGTTAAGGAAAATAAAGAATAAGAACCTCAAACTCATATGGCAGCAATGGCTGCGCATGACATGTACTATAGAATCAGAATCCGAGAATGACCCAGGAGACGATTAATCATGTCACTGCCAAAAAGATTGAAAATTTGCAAAAGGGGTTGAAAGTTGCATCAACATGTGTGTGATCAGTTTCTGAGCAAGATTGGATTGAGCAGTTGAGAGAGATGCGAAAGTTACGTAAAAGGAAAGGGAATGAGATATTGGCGCCCTTTTGAAACTGCTTCCACGTTCCCCAACTAATGACATGTTTGGTTTTCAGTTCAAAATTTACTTTTAAAACTGAAAAGGAAAAAGCTAATGTTGGGCTAATAGCGTTTATATAATGCTATTTTAATAGTTAAACCATATCTGTCCTTGATAATAAAATAACTTGAGAAATATTTGACTTTATTTATTTTAAAATTTATTTTCTTTAAGACAAAATATTATATTGAAGTAAATATCGAAAAAGAAATAAATTAAAATAACTTTTTTAATTTTTTTGTAAATAAATTAAATTTAACTTTGTAGATTTTTAGATTTTTTTTATTAATTTTAATTTTTAAATAAAAATATATTATTATTTACTAATTTAGGTTAAATATATTTTTAATTCTTCTTTATATTTCAAAATAATTGTTGATACGTTCAACCTTACAATTTAACCATGACATGAGTTATTTAAAATTGAAGAGTCATAATCAATTACAGACTACGATCATTTACGACAAAATGTGAAACTCTTATTTTTAATTTTAACTTTAAAATATATAAAAAAAAAGCATTTAAACTTTATCTTTAAATGAGGTAAAATTAGTTTTTTTACAACATTGCCGGTTGAGAAAAATAATTACTGGATATATTATTTATTTATTGTTTATTATACGTTGTTTGAATGCTATGGGGAGGTAATTTATTTTTTAAAAGTGTGGTTTTAATATATCTGACTTAATCATATTTTAAGTTCTCTAATAACTTCTAATAGTAAAAAAAAATAGTAAATAATAACGATAGTTGTTTTTAAAATATGACACTTGATTATTTTATTATTTAAAATGTTATATTATGAATATAAATTTTATTAATGAAGTTTCATTTTATAAAAATTATTATCACACTAAAAAAAATTTTAAAAATTTTCTTTGCTTTTGGTATAGATCTTTTATTTCATTCTTCATATGTTTGAAGATAAAATCATAAAAACAATTCTTATAGAAAATTCTATACATCCAATTTATCAAAATTTTAAACAAGAAAAGTTCGCTTTTGCACAGTGTATTGCGTGTGGTTTTTTGGTCCATTCATATAACTCAAAATGACTTAAGGTGAATCTTTGTTTGGTTGCGGTCATAAGGATCTATTATGATATTTGATAAGAATTTTCTTTGTATAATTAGAATATTTTCTCAGAGTTAGAGTCATAGGAACAACCTTTGAATTAGAATTTTGTACTTCATGTAATGGAAGCTAGTTTAAATTTAGATATTAATGATGAGATTGAATTGAAAAATGGTGAAGGATGATGTTTATTATTTGTGAAATCTAATTTGAGTTGTATTGATTTTTGGTATGCATTTCGAACTAGTTTTGCACTTATTATTATTCTAATTAGTTTCATGATCTAGCTAAATTTGTCTCACGTATTTGATACAATTTTAATTGGTGTGTTTTCATCTAGTAAATGAGCAAGAATGCATAATTTTTCTTCCATAAAACTCCAACACTTTTATTCGATGGGTATATTATCACTCGTTGAGTGAGTTTGCGAAAAGTGATGTCATGAGATATATTCACAAAGCTAGTAAATGAGAAGTTGAGCGAAAATGAAAATATCAAAAATCTGAAAATAAGGTATGTACTTAACTCATTAAGCGAACAATTTTTGTTAGGTGAAATTTAAAATATGTAGTGTAAGTATTTTTTACAAGCCTGCACTTCACTAAGTGAGAAAAGTTTTATGAGAAACAAAGAACATCAATGACATATTTTCACTAGAGAAGTAAATTTAGTGTAAATATTCTCTACAGGCCTGCATTTCACTAAGTGAGAAAAGTTTTATGAGAAACAAAGAACATTTTCACTAGACAAGTAATCATAGTGCAAATAATGAAAATGCAAGTGAAAAAGATAATAACAATGAAATTTTTTAGAAGTTTTGTAGAGAATAATAGGTTATATATATATATATATGCACCCCAAGGAATAGTGATTATGGAGGCTGAGAGGTGCCATGACCCTCCAAATTTATATTTGGATGTAAATTACATTAGGTAGTTTTTTTATCTTTATTATAATGCATATTATTTAATCTTAATAAACAATCAAACATAAAATTATATATAATAAAGATTAAAGATACTTATAAAGATATTTTTTAAAATTTTTAAATAAACTTATATTAAACATTATCATGAACTTTAACATTTCAATTAATACTACAAAACTAATTCCCTTTTAAAAATTCAAACAAATAAACCTTTGTGTATGTAGTATAACATGTAAGTTTAACTACCTTACCAATAACGGTTGATAGTGTAAAATTCTTTACACAATGCATAGCCATTAATGTCTTAAACAAAACCACCCAATAACTTACTAGAGTCTTAAATTGTAAGGCCTGATAACATTTCTGTAACTGAGGGAGGAATACATAAGTTTTTATAAGTCCTAGTTTCAATGTATTGATTCAATATGCACTCTAGTTTTAATCATGACAAAAAGAATAGAGAAGAGAGGAATGGAGGAATATGTTGAATCAATGGTGAACTTGAGAGGTATAATGATCAAAAAATTGCAGGATCTTTGTATCTCTTGAATAAATCTTCAATATCTGCCATGACTGCTGCTGGTAAGGGTCTCTCAGTTGTTGTAAAAGCATCAATGTCCTCTTTTAGCTGGTCCACAGAGGTTGCACCAATAATTGAACTAGTCATGAATGGACGATCTCTTGCAAATCCAAGTGCAAGCTGAACAGGAGTTAGACCATGCTTTTTCGCCAACTCAAGATACTTTATAGTAGCTTCCTGAAATCCAGCAACAAAAATAGGTAGGTACTTCAGTATTGTCACCATATTTTAGAACTTAGTCTTAAGACTATATGGATAATTTTTTCTGCAAACAATAATAGAAGAACATGAAAAGATAATATGAATTAAATTTCTCGTATAAGATCAAATAAATGTATGAACTTAACTTCAACAAAAGTTCTCTTATTTGGCCTTTCCAAAACTTATGTGCATTAATTGATTTTTTAACTCACTGGTTCAATTTAGTTCATTTTCTCTTCTTTTCTGCTTTTACATGTATTTGCAGAGAAGTTTACACAAACAGAACTAAAGTCCAAATACAAGAACTAGATGGTGTACCCTTGCCACTGATTTGTTATATCTTTCCATGTAACCGGGAAAGAGGTTCAACCTTCCTCTTTTTGAAGCTTCAGAGTTTATATCTATATATTTTCCTGTGAGTGATCCACCTCCAAGTGGGGAATAGGAGAGTAACCCAATATTGCAATTCTTTGGATGACAAACTTCCACAAGATCAACTGCAAAAAAAAAAAAAAAAAAACAAGTAAAGGAACACAATTTAAAGAAGCTTACAAAAGGGAAAAAGTACAATCCCCCGTCCAACTTAGAGTCATATATGCACTTTGATCCTCAAATCATGTCACCAATTTTTATTGCAAAGATTCAAGTTATCCCTTTCATCTTAGGTTCAAGTGCACTTAGGACTCGAGCTTGACAAATTTGACCACTCTGTTAATTTTGGATTGAAAATTGGACGGAATGCCTAAAAGACTTTAAAAAACTTAAAAGCAAGAGTGAGTGCAACTTTGTCTCGTTTGGACTCTTCACGAATAACAATGCATAAGGCGCTATGTGATTTGTAATGATCAGCGCAACTATTTGACAAAAATATTTATCAAGGCTACAGGAGGAGCAGCAGCTTTGCAACACTAAGAAATAAAACATTAAGTCATATGAACGAGACTTTATTAGATAACTTTTCTGACTACTTGTAGAAGGAAAAATCAAATGTGTTATTTCGTAAGATAAAATTAACTTTATACATATGTTAATTTGTATAAACTGTACTATATTAGTTTCTCTAAAAGACTATTTCTAACTTGTACAAAAACTAATCTTGAAGAAAGTAAAATTTAAGTGTAATTCAACCTCAAAAAAGCTTGTTTGGTAAGGTGAAATTTTCACTCACCAATGTAATATTATTATTTGGCTATATCTTCGGTCGATGTAGAATTCCCAAGAAACTACCTCAGTTTCAACACTTAACATCTTGAATGTGGAACCATGGTGGAATCCGATAAAGGGGTGACGCCAAACAAACTTGGCTAAAATAAGATCTATATTATCTTAAGAAAATGGAATTTAATCTTAACTCAACCTCACAAACATAATAAGATAAGGTTTGAACCCATCAATATATTATTTTTTGCCATATCTCTAATCAATATTGGATCTCCAACACTTAATACTTATTTTAGTTTAGGTAAAAGTTTATTTGATTTTGCTTCTTTTTTTCTTCTAAATGTTTTTGCTGAGAAAGTTATCCATACAAGCCTTTGGCGAATGTCACAATCTCACCTTCAAAATGACATCTCACAAGCAAGCTATAGCTGTTTTGGATACTGACAATCTTTGGAAGGCCTTCAACTTTAGCTGCATGGACAAACTCCATCACTCCATAAGAAGTCTCATTTGAAACACCTATGTAGCGTACCTATGATGCACACAGAAATCTCAAGAAACTGAATCCCAATCTCATGCACAAGAGAAGAAACATGACATTGTGATCAGAATATTAAAATTTCACGTTACAATTGGCACAAATTTCTTGGAAAAGTAAGCAGATGTGACAGAGAATCCTAGCTTGATTGAACAAGAAGGTGATGGGTTCAAGCTTCCAACCAAGAGACATATAATTGTCTGTTTCTATTTACAGGCTTGTAATAGGATGAGACATTGGCCAAATAGCATAGCAAATTAGCCTACAAAAGGGTATGGCCATTTCACCCCTCTCGTCTAATCAAAACTTTTGAGAGTCAAACTATTCTTTCTGCCATTCCTCAACTTCATTTTCTCCGTAAAAAATAACACTAAAATTAAGCAAAGAAAGTTACAACTTACAAGCAAATATCAATAATTTCACTTGGAATAAATATTTTTAGCAAATAAAAGAAGTGCTAAGCTTCTCCAAGCCAATACCAGTAGAAATCATTAGATATCC